AATCTATTTCCTCTGTACGGAATACCAAGGAGTCAGGTTTTAGAAATGTCAGTTTTTTAGCACTCCAGATGACACTTTAAGGTTTTCCTAGCAGCTGCGAGCCACAATCTTTTTTCTTCTTAATGTAGAATAAGTGTAAAGGATTCTGTTCCAGAGACTTGAGACTTCAGGATGCTATAATTTGTTGTCTCTTTCTGTACTCCCAATCTAAACTGAGGGCTCACATATACCTATTTTTAAAATTGTCACAAATTGATCCTATTAGACTGTGATTTTTTTTTATTATAAGAATTGTAGATCATGGCTGCAGCAAGGAGTCAAAAACTCCCCCCCCCATCCCCTCACTAAGGTCCCAATCTGTATTTAGCTTATTTTAGAGTAACAATGAAAATATATAGTTGCTTGTTAAGTCTTGAGAGGAGGGAACCTTTTTTGTCATGGCTTCGACCCAGAACAATGCCTTGCCTCATTCCAAAGGCTTCCCCAGATTGAAAGGCTTCCCTAGGGAACCTGGGAACCTGCAGGGAAGGGAATAGGAAATTTTAAATTAAAGACTAATGTCAGTGATTGATGTCATTATTCATTAGCCTTTACTTGGGTGCAGTTATGCAACAAGCTTCCAGCCAGTGTCTGCAGACAGTACTTTGGAACTACATTAAGTTGCCAAACCAGATAATGCTTCTGTGGCACAACTAGCAACTATATTTTTTCATTGTTACTTGAAATCGGGGGGGGGGGGCTGGCAGATAGAAAACTTTAAATTAAAGATTACTGTCAGCAACTCAGGACATCATCAGGTTTTATGCAGACACAATTGCACAAGAGAATTCCAGTCACTGTGTGTATGTTTTTAGAATGGGCTGACAGTTTCAAAAACACAAGATGGGAACTCTGTTTCTGTTTTCTCTAGGTTGCTTGAATTATATCCACAGTACTACTACAAGCACACTGAAAATAGCAACCAGTATGGTGGCCACATGCGAAAGAGCACAGGGCTCCTGTACCTTAGAGTTAAAGAAAGGGTTTTAGCTTATCTTGCATAGGTACATCTGCTGAAATGCCCTCCTCTGCACAGTTCTTAGATAAGTAGAAGCCTTGACCCCTTTTGCATCTGGTCACCCTTATTACCCAGCATATATATTTAAAAACATTGTATGTGGAAATTCCCCCCACTTTTGTGGAGCCAGGAAACTACACTGCTAGCTAAAAAGGAGAAAACAGATCCTCCTTGGAGACGCCCTGGGCTCCAACCTTAAACGAGCAGAGCTATCCATTTCATTATCTGCCTCCTCAGAGACAAACTTATTTGGATAGCTCTGTTCTACCAGAGAAGAGTGATCTGTAAAAAAAAAAAATTATTATATCCATGAATACAGACATTCTCTTTTCCACCATACAGGGAGTTCTGTTTTGTCAGTTATATGATAAATTAATGAAGTAGCCTAAAGCTCTTCTTCCATGCAATAGGCTAGGGAAAATAAAACACATACATATTTATGTGTTAAAATTAAGATTCTGAAGAGGGCAACTAGCTACAACAACAACTAAAAGAAAAATGGAAAAGTGCATCTGTTGATGCTCAGTAAACACAGTGGTGTAGTAGGCTGAGGGAAGTTTATCTGCAGGCAATAATATGGGCCATTTTGCCTGTTTGTGCTGTGTGGGGGGGTATGCATTGGGTTAGTGTCTACATATTTGTAGTGCGAGTTTGCACGTTTGAGCGTATGCTTTGTGTGTTTCAGGAGGAATCTAGGTTCTCTGAGCATTTTTAGGTTTCCCTGGATATTTGGTCATCCTTTTCGGAAACAAATGTGTGGCTCATTCCTTGAGGTAAAACCAGCTTCTGTCTAGCACTCAGTACCTTGGATAAATTACTTGTCTTTTATGCTTTGGCAGTCCTCTATGGCAGCCATTTTGCGATAGTGCCACAAATGTGCTCAGACATCCAAAATGGCTGTTCGGCACATCAACATTTCATCATATTATGTCAAGTATGACGTAGAGCAATTTAAGGCAATCTCCCGGTAGAAGCTGCAAACTGGCTCTGAACCTTTATGACTAATGTGGTATCAAATGACCAAAGACTCACTCTTTGCTACACCTAAACTGATGAGTAAAGACATAGCTAATGATGTGCAAAAGGGACATATTAAGTTACACTTTTGGACTGAGGGGATGGTGGGTCTACCCTTGGCCATGGTCCAGAAATGTTGCAGTGTTTGGCCACAGATTTCAATGGCCAATTTACTATAAGAGCCAAAATCAAAATTGCAGAGTTGAAACCTGGAAAATCATTGCAGGGAAGACAGGAGGTTCCTCCAGAATGCCAAGAAGGAGCAAGCATAAAAGACAACAGGGGTTAGTAATAAAAGAAGAATTTTGAGCAAGCCATTTGGGATACATAGAAACTTTGCTTTTGCAGGGCTCTAGTAATACTTTTAACATTTGCCTTTAAGGTCATGTGCAGTACAGATACTTGAAATAACACAGCTTATTAAGTAATAAGTGTGACCTTATTTTCAATAACATTGTTAATTTAATTGTAAAAGTCACATACCAAACACTGAGTTTAAATAAGCAGGTGCCTGCCTAAATACCAGTCATAAACAACAGGATAAATCATTCTCTTTCTAAACTATATTTCAATGCTATTTCCAAATGATATTGGGTTTTCTCCCTGCCGATGCTATGTTATAATAAGATAGGCCAAGTCAAATAAGATCCCTTCAGACTTATTCTGGTGATTCCAGAAGTGAAAGGGATTTCTTCTAAGGCAGGGGTCTCCAAAGTTTTCAGTTTGAGGCCACAAGAGAAGCCTGGGGAAGGGCAGCAGCTTTGTTGTTTCCCCACGGCGAATAGGCTGAGAGAGAGCACATGCTTGCGCTAGGGCAGGGGATGAGTGGGAGACCAATCCTGTTGCCAGGCGCTATTAGGGAAGGCGGGGAGGTGGGGGTTGGGTGGGAAAGGTCCTGGAGTCCGGACTGGGCCAGATAAAAAGGCAAGGTGGGCCAGATGTGGCCAGCAGGCCATAGTTTGGGGACCCCTGTTCTAAGGCAAGAACCTAATATTTGTTATTCATACTTCAGATACACTAGCCTAAATCCAATTGCGGTAACAAGAACCTAATATTTGTTATTCATGCTTCAGATACACTAGCCTAAATCCAATTGCTAATCCCAAATAGAGTATAGCTGTTGAAGTACTGGAACCTACTGTATGTAAACGTTCATCTATCAAGTTCTCATTGGGTTCCGCAGGCTTCTCTTGTGGCATCAAACTGAAAACTTTGGATTTTGAGAATGGGGGAGGAGGGTAAGTGACTGACATGTCCACCTTCTGATACTGTACATTTTATGAGTGTCTCACCTTCTGACGTACATTTTACAAGTGTCTCTCCAATCATTGTGCTTTAGGGAAGGGATTACGACATGGATAAATGCCTGTCGTTTCCTTCTTGCTTACTTTTTTTTGTCTTTGTAGAGAAAAACAGGAAGAAATTTGGAACATGGAGTACCATTATTTCTTTGGTGCCTGTCTTTAGCTTGCTTTAATTCAAAGATTCTCGTCTTCCTTCCTAGTTCCTGATTCTACTCCATTCTTTCCTCCTCAGACAACAGTCTTTTCCCTAGCCTGCAACTAGGGTTTGTAACTAAGAATCAGGCAAGCTGCTACTATGATGATAACATCATTGTTTGGGCTAAAATTTTGCAAACATAGACGAATAAAGATCTGTAGCATAAATCATTTGATTCTCCAACCTCTTAGAACACCAGAACACTGTAACACCAAGGTGCAAATTATAAGATTATGAAACATAGAAGCAATGTAGATAAATTGGCTAAAATTTTGCAAACATAGAGGAATAAAGATAGCATAAATCATTTGATTCTCCAACTTCTTAGAACATTGTAACACCAAGGTGCAAATTATAAGCTTATGAAACATAGAAGCAATGTGGATAAATAAAGCTTGTAGAATTAGACAACCTGATGTTGCCTGGAATTGCAATAGTGAAAAGACTTACAGTTTGATAGATGAATTTTGATATGTTTGAAAATGTCTGATTTCATTCTGAATTGTTCTTTTTTGAGATAAATACCAGTTGTGACAAACATGGGCTTCTGATTTTCCCCGAAAGGTCAGTAAAGTTCTACAGGGCTCTTGGGGAGAATCTCTGACCTGACACAGCCAAAACCAATTACTTCCCCATTCATTCTTTTGAGAAGAAAGCCAGATGTTTTTGGAATGGCTTTGATCAGGGAAAAAGTGATTGAGAGGGAAATAAGCAATTTTTCCCTGTCCTCACAGACTTCCATGGGTATTTAAAGTGTGTCACATTGGAAGAGTGCTACATGCCTATGTGTTATAACATCTCAGACTCTTAAAAGACTGACACAAAGGTCAAATCTGGGATTACACATTAATGAATAGGTGTAGTTTTGAGGAATTGATAGAAAATATACTGAAAGTGGTGGAGACGCGCTTTCCAGAATATTAATATTCCAGAAAATATACTGAAAGTGGTGGAGATAGATGTACTACAAGAAACATTGAGTGAAATATCATCTCAAAAAGGACTCATAAAATGGGAACGGTTTTATAACTGGATCTGAAATATTGATTGGAAAGTATAGATAAAAGAAGCATGAGAAGGTCCAAAAGAATGGAGAGAGTTGTAAAGATTGTCTGGAAAATTGTTATACTGTTTACTTATGTGATTTCCCTTTTTAGCATAACTAAGGGGATGAAAGAATACTCTTTCGCTCTCTGGAATTTTACCCTTTCTCCATCCTTACTCATCTCCTCCTTATTCCTCTGTAGCCACACTCCAACCCCTACTAAAAATGAATAAAAACTTGTAAACAAAAAATTAAGGTTTAGTTACAGACCATAGAATCCTATCCAGCTGTAGCTGAAACCAATTGAATGTTTGTTGTTGAACTGAATGAAGGGAGATGAGAATATGTCCCACCAGTGAAAAAAGTTTGGGTTTACCTTACCCTCTATTGAATGTTTCATATCCAAGGCGGTAGGCTTCAGCTTTTTTATTGACCAGCTCTGATCCAAGACGGTAAGCTTCAGCCTTCTTATCAAGAAGTTCAGATCTTTTACTGTGAGCTGCAGATTCATGGGAGTAAGCTAAATCCAATTCATGGCTGGATGCTGCAGATTGCTGACTGTAAGATGCTGAACCATGATGGGCTGTCAGGGCAGCTTCCCTAGAGTACGCAGCAGATCCATAAGTGTAGATAGCAGATTTGCGTTTCTCCTCTTTTTGGTACTGACTTAGAGTGGACTCCAGTTCCTTATGACGATATGCCCGGTCAAAATGTTGATGGTGCCTCTGATAGAATGGTAAAGACATATTTCTCCTACCCCAGTTCACACTTTTGATATACTGTCAAAAAGAAGAAAATAAATTAATCCAGGAAACTGACTCAACATGACAAGCTGAAGAATGCTTCAGCAAACATAAATAACACAACAGACAGACTACATCTGCATCAAATGAAAAATCTAACAGGGATTGTTGACATTACACTTCAGACATACAAGAATACAGTTAGCAAAGTATAATTAATATTAATAGCATATTTGACAAATCTAAAGATGCTTTGATAAGAAAATTCACTGGGGCATAAGTTAAGACTGACAATGAGCATAAGACATTAAAAAAATCATTCCAGACAGACGACAAATTCTATTCATTTGAAATTAATTTACATTCATAGGGATATTAGGACACAAATGATGAGATCTTTCTGCTCTTCCATGAACATCTAATAATGGACAATGGAGAAAGGAACAAAAGATTTGTTTAGTTCAAATGGATGTTCCTCGAGGAAAAACTTTTAAAAATTCCCCCCTTCCAATGGTTAGTTCTTGTTGAATTTTGCATTTGATTGCAAAGAGATGGGGCAAGAATATTTTGTCTTTCATTGTTCTGGGTTAACCTTAACCTTGTCCTAAACTCATATTATGCCTCTTTCTGTATCTGGAATACCAGCAATTCTAATTAATTAAAATTCTAAAATTGTAAACCATATTTCAGAATTATAATCTCAAAATGTTGTCCCACATTTGGCATTCTAACATTTCATTCTGTGAAACTATCCCACACAATTATTTTAGGAAAAATCCAGAATACAAAATTCAAGAGGAGATGTGTCTCAGCTACTTCCATTTGCAAGCCAGGTACTGTATTTTAAACTTCAGTATTGACAGTTGCTGGTCAGAATCCTACTGGATATTTAGCTGTGCATAAATGACACTGTTGAACTTGCTACAGGTGATTGCACCTAACTAACCAGGTGCCAGGCAATGCCAGATGTATGCATGATGAAGTATGCAACAATTAGTTGCAACAACTTCCCAGTTGCTCTTATGCACAAGTAAATATCCAATAGGATTTGGGGCAATATGTCTGAATTCAGATTATGAGTATGATATGTTTGTAACATTTGAAGATGTGATTATTTCATCTTCTGCACTGCCATTTATGCATGTGTTGGGAGCAGTATGTCCTTCATGTGCACTGTTTCTCTTACTGCAGTTTCTGTGCTTTGATATGGGTAAAAAAAATAGGCTATTCTCACATCAGTAGCTTTTGGTGGTGTATAGCTACCAAACAAAACTATTATTTTGTGTAAGATCCACCTGTTGCGTACAACAGAAACTTGACAAACACACCCAGCTCTGTTGTGCTACAGTTCCCTGAACAGCTGCTCTTTGTGGCTCAGTAGCTGACAGGTTTTTTTTGTTTTTTGTAATCTCCAGTTGGAAAATGGATATCCAATCTGAATGAACATTAATTTGAACTGTGCTAGATCTGCTAAAAGGATTTTTTAAAAGAAAAAAATGCTAGTAATTCCTAGCACACATTTATAGAAGCGAATGTACTAGACTGACAGATTTTGTTTATATTTAATTCTTCATATTTCTAACAAGTATGACTAACTTTTCTGATGTTGAGATAGAGCTAAATGAATGCACATGGAGGGGAGAAGCAATAGCATGGCGTTTGTCTCTTCCCTGACATGTAGAAAATGCCAAGGGAGACAGCTGTTTGTGAAAAGGCTGTCTGCAGACATTCTAACTAACACAGGCTAGGGCAGGAACATATTGTGGCAATGCTATTGCTATCCCAGTTCAGAAACATTTTTTAAAAAAATCTATTGAAGTCCTGGAATGGACGCAAGCACGTCATCTGACGTCATTTGAAATAAATGTCGAAGTAATCAACCACTACTCAGAGAAGATAACTAGTACACTGCAAAGTCATCCGGTCAAGCTATTAACTAATGCTGAAAAGTTCCTGAAACACTACAATAGTTAAACTGATAAAATATTGAGACTTTACATTCATTTTATTCCTGAGACATTCAAGATTCTCTACTCTGTTATCCACAGCTCTCCCAAACCACAGTTCAGGGAGAAATTACTGCAAGATCAGGAGGGGAAAAAAGAGTGAACATTGTTCCAGGTTTTTAACATAAAGAGCAAATTTGTTTGACAAATACTGTTTATGAACATAGCACACTTACCAGGAGCCAAACCAAGAATGATAGAGATGCAGGCTTGTACAACGAAGACTGAGAGGGAGAAAGAAATCCAGCCGAAGTTTAATCCAGCCAAGTGGCTGAGAGGGCCAGGGTTGAGGATGGGTCTCTTAGGTCTAGAACAAAAATATTGCCTGCTGTCAGAGGAATGTCACACCAACACTCCCGACCTTTTATGGCTGAGAAGTCTGTTAAATATAGCAGCAGCAAAGAGGGAGAGAGAGAGAGCACTTGCTATCTTTGTGCAAATACATGATGACCGCAACTTCAAGCTACATCTTTCTTCTTTCCAAAGCCTAACTAAATCCAACTCTGAAGGTTTGTCAGCTCAGATACCTTGGTCACACAACAGTGCCACACAAATGTGATTGGTTTAAGTGACAAAGGAGAATATGCTGCCACATATATCCAGTTTATAAATAAGTTGTGACTGCACTGAAAGATTCCAAAATACCTACAGTAGTGTGACATTAAAAAGAACTCCTGTGTGTGTGTGCCCAAATCTGCTACAGTGCGCTGTTAACACAACAAATGCTATTATATAACCACTGTGAACAGGAACTGATTTCAGTTAAACAGTAGAGTACTCCATATAGCAAAACTGCTGGCAAATCTCCACAATTAAAAGTAGACTGTGAGATTCAACAAGGGAACATATTCTTCATGAGGTCTTTGACACATTGCCACTTAAAAAATCTAATTAAGATAAGCTTCTAATCTGGAACCTTGTCTTCACTAAATTTAGAAGCTTATCTTCACAACAATTTTTAATGCAGCAACTTGTCAAGAGATCATGGTGAACATTCATCTAAATTAAGTGTCGAACCTCAGCAATGTAACTAGTAGTTTAAAGCCAAAAGACTGGATGGTAAATCTGAATCAGTGTTTAATTTCCACTGCCACCTTACCCAGGCTTTTTGTATCTGGTTTAGGTTGGCTTGCTTTTGTGCCACTTTCAAGAAACAAAAAGCAGAGGAAATGGATGTCTATTTTGCTTCAGCCATATATTTGCTTGAACTGTATAACAATGAACAGAAAATCTGGGCTCCATCCCTGGCCCTCATCAGAACTACTGGACTCACCCCCATAGCTCCAGAGCCAGAAGACTCCCAACTCTCTCAGACCCTGTTCAAGCAACACAAATAAACGGGTCTATTCTGTTCCCACTTCTGACTTTCTTTGACCTCTGTGTCAGATTTGGAGTAGAAAGGATACTACCTCTCAGTGTCCTCTGTCATTTTGGGGGAGAGGACCCTGAAAGATCAGAAGCTGTGCCTCGCCTTCTACTCCATCCAGTGCAGGAAGAGAGGGTGGGAGCTTAAGGAATTGCATGCCAGTACTGTAACTACCTACTGGCACTCCTCCCACTGGGAAATGAAAGCTCATCTAAGAGGCTTCTAGGATGACCTCTTGTTTCCTAAAAAGAAGGGTGCTGCTGTTTGAAAGTAGCAAGCATCTTGTTCCATGGGCTTCAAATATATAGGCTGTGGGCCATTGCTGACTTGAGTGGTTTAAATGGGTGCATGCTGCTTGTAATTTTAGCTGCATGAGAGTGCAACTAAAATTTTGTGCAGCAGAGAAAATCAACATTCTACAAGTTAATTGTAAAAATGGGTGCACTCAAACAAAAATGTATAACTTTGAAACTGAGCTCTGAAACAGCAGCAAGTATGGCACAGTTTTAGCAAACAATCTGCTCTTGATCTATGCCAAATTTGGGGAATTTTGGACAAAGGGTTTTTAATAAGCAAAGTTTTAGTTTGCTTATTAAAAGCATAGCTCTTTTACCTCCTTGTTCAGAAATAGGCGACCCCAAGCCATCCCAGATTTAAAATAGATCACATAAACTGAATAGACCAATCTTGCTTACAACAAAAGTGAATGGTTGGTTACACTTGTTGTTTTTTTTAATTTGCAAAGAATCCAGGCTGCATGGGTTGAAATATTGATCCCCAAGAAGGCCTTTCAAAAAGGAAAAGGAGCAATTTTGAACGTACGTGGTACAGGCTTGCCAGCAAGAGCTTCACAAAATCATACATTGTATACAGTCATGGGCAGAGGAAGGAGATATTTGGAGAGCTGAAGAACAACAAAAGATCACAGAAACAAAGTCAAAGACAGGTTTTCTTTAAAGCAGGGGTCCCCAACCACCGGTCTACGACCCAGCAGTGGTCCGCAGCTGAGAAAGGGCTCTGCCATGGACACTGATCTCCTGCTCCCTGTGAGCGCCCCCCGTGAGTGCCGCCATATGCATGCACGTGGGCAGGCTCCGCCCCTGTGAGCATGCCATGCAAATTCATGTGAGCACCCCCACAAGAACCTCCGCACGCATGTGCATGAGCGCCCCATGTGCATGTGCATGAGCACGTACCACACACCCCCAACCAGTCTACGGTAGGGAAAAGGTTGGGCACTACCGCTTTAAAGGATTTAAAAAACAGGCCTTAAAAAAGGTTATGGAGAGGCATTCCTCCAGAAAGGCGGATATTTTACCATATATTTTCAGGAAGTTAGTGTACAATTTTGTAAGGCATATTAAAAATATTTCCACTTATTTTAGAAAAACAGATGGCAGTTGTGTTTTGTTCTAGCACTTCCAGAAAACATTCTCAGGATTTCTGAGACCAAGTAGTCTCTTCACATATGTTTTCAAAAGGGAAGTCAGCTTCACCTCTGGGACAATCTGAACTTTTGAACCTGTCAGGCAGGACAAAATTAGCCAAATCTTTGCTAACTTTTGACTTTTGCCCTAGTCAAATAAAGTTATGGGATTCTTGCTTGCAAGTGGATTCTATGTCTGGTTGTAAAAATGCAGACACCAAAAGAATATTTTAAAAAATTAAAAGAACAGATATTAAAATATTTTTAAAATATTAAAAAATACATTAAAAAAAAAACAGAACAAATATTCAGAAGCTCACTCATTTAAACTGTGAAATTACAGGGGGTTTTTTTTCCTTTTTTTTTTTTTTGCTTTGACTCTGGAGATACTCTTGCATGATGTTAGAAGAGCTTTGGTGCCTATATCTAGTCATGTTTTCCAGTTGGTACCTCAAGCATCCTACTACAAAATTGCTTGGTAATTTTTTGAAAAACTTCATAAATGTTATGTGCTATCAAGTCCCATCATTAACAGCTCTGCTAATATGTTGCAAATCAACAGCATCTCATGTTAGGTCATTCTTTCTTCAGATTTCCCCCTCCCCCCAGCAATATTATCGTTTCCAGTAAGTTCTGCTCATGTCTTGCAAACTAATAGCTGTTAATTTCTTTACAGATTCATTTTTCCCTACTTTCCACCCCACCCTCTGATTTCCCAGCAAAATGGACTTTTTCTGGTCAGTTCGATATTCTCATAATATGTGCAAGGTAAGATCGCTTCAATTTACTCAGTTTTGCTCTAATGAGAGTTGACTTGACTGAGCACCCACTTATTTGCCTTTCTGGTCGCCTGTGGTGTCTATAAAGCTCAGTTCCAGCACTGCATTTCAAGTGAATGGTGTGTCCCCCACCCACCTGTCTTTCTAACCTGTCCATCTTTTATAGTATGGATCATTTTTATCTTAATTTGAAGTGATAATCTTTGCTCTCAGCCTCCCCTCCTTTTTTATTTCAAAGTGCAGCAGCCAAAATCAAGTTCACCTGGTACCATTCTTCAGCAAGAAAAGGGAAGGCTCCTTGCACAGATAAGAAGAAAGATGTCCATCCTCTCAGTCTGCAAAATCCAGGATCTGAAATGTGAAGTCAAAGCCACCTCTCTCTATATACATCAGCAATTAGTTCAAGGGTCAGTTCATTCATGAGTGTGACTGGTCATCTGGATGTTTAAGCCCCTTTCAATTGCCCCCTCTCAAAAAAACAGGCTTCATTACAGAACTTGATTATCATCTACATTTTCCAAACAAAACAAACCTAACTTGTTGAGAAACAGCTCGGAGGATTGCTTTGCTTGGATGAAAGGTGCTTAACTGATGAAAAAAGTAGTCAGATTCTGCTTTTTCCAATGTTTAGTTTCTCTTTGTGAATGGTAGTGAGCACAAGAAGGTGTCCTGTAGACCATTTTGACTGCTGCCACCAGTGTTGTCAACATTATGGCTGCCTTCTGCTATGTAAAATTTGGAATCTTTTTTCTGCTGGCAACATGGGCATGATATTGTGCAGCAATATCAGGCCATTTCCTGATGTCTTGAATCATGATCACATTCAAACTGGAGGTCATTTTAAAAAACATATTTTTTCACAGAGTCAGTTTCCTTCATACCAGAGAGAGAGAAGTTGTTTTGTTGGCATCACAGAACAAAACAGAATGCTACTAATATTTTTTAGGCTTTATTGGGTGCAAAGTACCTATTTTCTTTCTATTTGTAGAGCGGGTAGCAGATCAGCAACATTTACTTTTGTTTACAAATAGTTATTTAGAAAAAAAATATTCTTAGGCTGTTTCACATACAAACATCACAATATGTGTTCATGGGAGTGTTCTTCCCTCTTTGCAGCTGAGTACTCAATTTAGTGACCTCCAAAAGATGGAAGGCTGAGTGAACCTCAAACTGGCTGCTTGGGGTTGAACCCAGGTCATGAGCAGAGTTTGGGCAGCAGTACTGAAGTCTGACCACTGTGCCATGAGGCTCCATTGTGTGTAGCTTAACAATAATGAAACCTTGACATCTTGGCATAAATATTATGGACACCAACAGTGTGTGTTGATGTTGTTTCAGTTTTTAAGCTCATGAGTTAACAATAAGCTTAATGAGCCAGTTTCCTTTAATACGTACATGGCAGAACCTATAAGACGTGGTGAGAAGGGGAAAGAGGCACAATCTGGACTCTTACAAATTTGAAACCAAGTAAGCATTCATGTATTTCAGTAGAGATGGAATGAGATAAATGTGGGAATGTATGATTGTATGAATGTATGATCATGAGCAAGCCTTTGATAAAATCTAATACAGCAAGCCAACAGAATTGTTGGTAAACAAAGATTTGAGATGTTTCTATAACTGGCTAGACCTTTGGTCTAGATGGGCGGGATAGAAATCCAATAAATAAATAAATAAATAATGTATCAGCAACAAAAAGCTGCAGTGAGAGCTGAGGGATCAGATGGCACAGATCA